CAGCAATTTCTCCTCTGTCGAAAAATTACCCACAGCCAAAACAAAATCTTGCACGCAGCTCTCGTTTGCTCGAAGCCGCCGCCAAAAACAAATTTTTCCCAACCTCCTGCACTTGCTCAGCCGAAACCCTAAAAATATCATCTAGGTCACACCAAATTAGAGCTAGCTATACATTCATGTTCATTTTATGTGTCCTGTAATAGAAAGAAGTGAGGTTAATTACATACTATCTCAGTATGTTAGCATTTTTTATATAAAAATGTACCTTTATAACACTATATATATCATCTAGGTCACACCAAATTAGAGCTAGTTATACATTCATGTTCATTTTAAGTAGTCTACTCAATTGCAAAAATATCCTTGATTAATGTTAGTTTACATATGAATTGTTATGTCATGTCCTAATCAAAATGATGCTAATGTTAACGGTGCATGTGTTTGGCACCTGCTTAACATATCAGGTAGGATCGATCTTAGACCTTGTCTAGTTGCGTTTCATGTTTAGTTGTGTTTCATGTTCGGCAAAAACTAGGTCATGATCGATCGACCTAGTTTCTTAGTTTAATTTTTGGCCCCAAAATCTGCAGGTTAGAGTTAGTCCTCCCTCTATCAGCCGAAACCCTAAGAAAATCCCAATTTATAGCAGAAAAAATCCAGGCTAAAAAATCACAGCCGAAACCCGCTAACCGAACTCGAAAACCCACTGGAAACGCACGTGGGTGGGTCCTACCTGATTGCTGCTCTGCTTGCCTTCGCATGCTTGCGCGTGTGGGACCTGCTCACGTGGGGCGTGGGGTCTTCGCCATTCATAATTCTCCACCTCGGTGAAGTTTTCCCAAAACTGAGCCGACACCGACCAAACCAAATGTCTCACTTGTTATGTCCAGTACACCATGAAACAATTCACGATAACAAACTCAATACATAACAAGTCGAGAACCCAAATGAGAATGCAAACACTCTCCAAATGTCAGTATCAACTCACCAAATTGATCTCACCCCCATCAACATCCAACCCGGCTGCATCATAATGACTGCCTACGTATCCTCTTGCCCAAGGAATCAAGCCGAACGTAGTTCACCCAAATGGCCGCCAACGGCCTCAATCCAATAGAAGAGTTCGCAACCCTCCTTCAATATCATCAACTCTGCGGCTGATAGCACCTCCAATGGCCTCAAACACCTCCACCTGAGGCGAACCAATGACCATATCCAAACTATGTCAGTCAGCTGCACTCTATTCAAAACCCAACTCATCATCTGCATCCAAAACCAAATGATCTCCAAGCCGTGTCACCTCAGCTGGAATCCCAAATAATGCAGTATGATCTGGAGTAATCTTCACCCAATGTGGAGTAGCACCACTCTCCACCCGCTGTGATACCTCTAAGGTTTGTCCAAAACTCTCCACCTGCTGAGAGTCAATTGGCTCCCTCATCGAAGCCTCAACCAAAGTGACATTACCAGACCTATCTTATAATGGATTTTTACCTCCAATCACAGCAGTTGACAACTCTTTAATAGGATGACCCAAATATGTCGAAGCCTCTATCCAGAAACTCTTCTGCAAACCATTGCTCGACCACAAATATCGATCCTCCTCCAGAAAGGCACGATTCTCCAAATTTGTCACATTATCTAGTTGCCCCAAGATTTCCTTTCCAACGAAGTGTCTCGCAATGCCGTGAGCTCGGCTCCAATGCAGAAATAGGTCCATCTTGTACCTCCCACCAGAATGGAGTACCTTCACCTTTCTGCCAATATCACACTTCTTCAATCTGTTGGAGACTACTAGGACTTTCTCCAATGGGGATTTGGTTGCAACCCAAACACGCCTAGAACAGCCACCAACAAAGGATTGGAAGGCCCTCAAACATCCACGTGAACTCCTCTAGAACGACCCTTAGCACGGTGAATAGAGGTGCCACACTTCACCTCGGTCTT